CAAGAATGGTGGCATAGATGCTGCTTTTCGTTTCCACAAGGAAATGATAGAGAACGGTATTTCACCTAATGCTATTACAGTGTCAGTTCTTGTTGATGGTCTGTGCAGAGAGAATAGGGTTCAGGATGCGGTCAGGTTTGTGATGGAGCACTCAGGGATAAAGTACAGTGATATTCACTCTTTCTTCTCAAACTTTACAACTGAAGAAGACCCTTTAATTCCAAACAGTGTGATATATATGACCTTGATATATGGCCTCTATTTAGACGGCCAACACTATGAAGCTGGCAAGCTTTTCTCCTACATGAGAAAATCAGGTATGATGCCTGATAGCTTCACCTATACACTACTGATACGAGGGCAGTGCATGCTTGGCTATGTCTTGAATGCCATGATGCTCTATGCTGATATGATGAAGATTGGTGTTAAACCAATGAGGTACAAGATAGTCTGCCCTGAGATTTGGTCATGGGCACCACTGAATGACCCTCAAACTGTTGTAAGTTAAGAATTGGCTTCTACATACTTGAGATTTTCAGAGCAAAAGCGAGTTCACAGGTTGTGGAATCTTTTCAGTTTGTCACAGACTCAGTCATCAATATGATGCACCATTTTGCTACATCTGTGCTAGTTCGCTATTTGGAAAGTCCTCTGCTTATTGACCTTGTTCTCAAGACAAATGAAAATTTGAAGCCACTGGATTTGATTTTTAGTTGCTGCCATTTTGTGGTACAGACTCTGAATAAAAAGAACATATTCCTTCCCTGTGGCATGATCAGCAACAATGCTGATTAAGAGGAACTGGAGAAGATGGCTGTGATGAGAGTTGAAGCCAAACCATTGCAAATGACATATGCCCAAGCCCATCATGCACACGCAGCTGGTTGCTATACCGGGACTAGCTCTCCACTAGGGATGACCCTGAAATGTCTGAAGAAGGATGTACATGTAGATGCAAGTATACAACATATGCTGCACTTGCAGAGATTTATTATGGCCTTTCTCGTTTTGATGTGGATTGGCATGGATTGAGAGGGATTGGCAATGAATTGAACTATATTCCTTGCCATTCCCTGCCAACCCCTGCGCAACCAAAAAGGCCTCATAGATATTGTAGAGGTTTTAGTCAAGTTTGTTGGCATATGCACTAGAGAGGACGTCCAATCTGTAGTTAGGTGAATGTTAATTTAACTGTTCACCTGATGCGACCATCAGTGATGAACTGATGATCATGTATTCTTTTAAATGTTGATGATGATTTAATTTCCCCAATTTTTTTTTACTAATTATGTGATTATGTCACAGAAATGTGCATGCCATTTACCATGCATTTCTTGTTAACAGTGTCAGAAGGCATTTCTTTCATTAGCACTATTGGACAAATAGCACTACTAGAAACAATATCTAGGACTCCCAAAAAATAATTTCACCATTGTCACCAACTAAACCAAGATCCTTGAGTCTTCTTTCCTGGTAGTACTCTAGGCCATCTAATTCCTCCTCCCTCTGTTTAAAAATATTATCAATGTGCTGGAGTACTTTCTTTTCACCGGCCCTTACTCCAATTGCAATTGTAAGTCTTGGCCGCAAATTCTCTCTTTCCGATAGTTCTTCATCCTGAATATTCCACACATGTTTCATAAGATTAATTAAGATAAAAAGATTAAGAAAAAGAATAGCTACATCTAGTCAATAGGTAAACCTCTTCTATTGTGGTATGATAGGCAGCAAGGGCTGATTTGCAGGCATCTCGCATGACCTGACATATTGATTCCTCATTGTCAGGACTCAATGGCAGTTCAAGGTGGCCCCAAACCGAATTCCTGAAGAGTGCTTCCAAGAGAAATGCATCTGTTCCACCAATGCAAAGTAATCGCAGGTAAGGGAGCATTTGAGGAGGAAGGGGTTCGTCGAGGATTATATCAAAATATGCAGTTTCCCCCAGTCCGTTTAACTCTGCAATGTCAAGTTTGTCTCCATAAAATGGATCAGATTCAGACATTTCCAGGGTCACAGTATATGAATCCCTTGATGGATTTGATTCCACAAACCCATAGTCAAGTGCCAGTTCAGCATTACTCTTGTCCAGATCGTACTGGATATATATCTGTCAATGCAAATCCCAGTGCTCAGTTATAAATTGCACATTTTTAGCTTATCACTTGAAGCATCCAGTATGACATATAAATGCTGGACGCCACGAAAACAATGCACCTAGTGCAGAAAAATGGAACTTCATCTGTACCTGTTGTCCAGATTTAACATCCACTGGTGTTCGCAAGGAGAACATGAGTTCCCTACCAAAAAGACCCTTTCCTTTGATCTCCCAACTTGATCCTTCTGAGGTGACATCAGGACTGTGATTAACCTGATTTGCCAAGCAAGTCAAACGATTTTAAAGAATGCATTTCCAACATTCAAATAAGGCACTCTCTGATGGAAAATATCGAATATTTTTGGACATGTTAACTTAATCATAGAAATTACAAGGACCATGTAGCAACAATAAGTATGAATCATAACCTGTTGGATTAGAATTTAGAAAACACCAATATCGATTGCATTTTGAGAACTTACCAAATCAGCAAATGGTACGAGAGCAAGCTTATCTCCACGGAGCTCTGGAAACACCCTTGATCTGAGTATTCCAAATGCCCATAGGAAATCATCAAATGTTATGCTACCAGGGAAGAGGTCCTTATTTGTGCTTATGATCTCTGCCTGAACACTATCAAATTCGCTTTGCACATACTCTTTCACACCCATTGTGGTGCTTAGCAACTGTGTTCCTGCAAGTGAAAGAAGTGGCATAAAAGTTACCGACAAATCCTACACACAATTGACATGAACTTTTTTGCATTACATTGCACACTGACCTTGTATCTCTAGGAGCTCTTCTTCAGACCTGCACTGGAGGCACCAAGCGCCACTCAAACATCAGAATGATAATAGCGCAGAAGCAGTTGGCCAAACACAAATAGAGCGATCGGGGCGTCAGCTCACTCACCAGAAGATGGTGGAGTCGGTCTGGCGCGGGAGGATGGCCAGGTAGGGCGCCCACGGCGAGTCCGCCCCGCGCGCGACCTCACTGATAAGCAGCAGCGCGACGGCGACCCAGGGACGGAGGCCCCCGCCGCCGCCGCATGCGCGGCCGATGTCGGAGGCCGCTACGGCGTCGGCGTCCATCCAGAGCTTCTTGGGCACCTCCGCGACCACCTCCCCGCGGGGCAGATCCCGCGCCGCCACGAGGCCGAGGCCCTCCGGCACGGCGGCTGGAAAGGCTTTTCCTCCATCGCCCACGCTATGAGAGGCGAGCCACCGCCGGAAGTCCTCCAGCGCGGACACTGTCGCGGCTGTGCTGGCGGCTGCCGCGCGGGGGAGCAGCCGATTGTGGTTGTGGGGCCTCGATGGCTTCGTGGGGAGGCGGAGGCGGAGGCGAGGAGGCGGTGGGCGAGGGGAGTTGGGCAGACGCTGCAGGGATAGGAGGTGGTGGTGGGCCATGACGCGGTGGCGCGCGGCAAGGAGGCGGAGGCGGAGAGGTGGGGATCCCCTGCGACGGGGGAGATAGTGGTTTGGAGTTTGGACGATGACGACCGTTGGTTTCCATATATCCATAGCTATTATTATGGCGGGAGTGGATATGATCACTGGTGAGATGCCGACCGATGCCGTGGCAAAAGGCGTTTTCCCTCTAGCAAACACGAGGTTATCCTGCAGATGTTCCACGAATTATCTCAAATTTCAAAATGATTCCAGAATGCTCATAATATGAGTAGATGATCAGTTCCTTTGTACTAGAACACAATTGAGATGGGTCGTTCAACGACATTACGCAATTCAGATATTCCGTCCGATCAGAATGACAACTTTTAGATTTACCTTAAGTTAAACTTCTCCAATTTTAATATTCTTTTTATGAATATATTGATAACTACAAATTCACGCAAATGCACATCAATACATATTTCATGAATAATGTGATAAAATTATAGGCGTTGATTTATATTCTTCTGTAAACTTGGTTAATGTTTGAGAAATTTGACAAAAAAATATTTTAGCTACAATTTTGAATAGAGAAATCATAGAATAACATGATCATGATGATTTAAACCAAAAAAACCTTGAAAAGATAGAAACCTAGTGTAGGGTGTGTTTGGATATAGGCTCTAGTTGGGCAAGCTAAATTTTGGCCAAAGACAAAATAGGGTATAACCAAAATTTAGTCATATTAGATATATTTGGATAGTGGGCAAGCTGCCATTGTTAAAAAAACTATGGCTTGGTTGGTAGCCCTGCCAAATTTCACTACGAATATGAGTATGATGACATGTGAGATTCATATGTTAGTAAATGTATTTTATTTCTACCAAATTTCACCACGAATATGACATGTGGAATCCATGTAGTATTAAAATTCTTTTTTTTTTGTCAAAATATAGTCAACTCAACTCTTATTTTGTAGATTTAATTATAAACAATATTTTGGTGTGAACGATTTGGAAATATGATACCTAATTTAAGATGTATTTTGATTTAAATGAAGATGTGTATGCCCTTAAAACCTTGCACTGCGTGCAACCATGTCCAGATATCCCGCCACCTCACCTCTTTTCACGCAAAGTGCCTTCAAACGGCCAAGCTAAAATCAGGCTGGCCGCCTAGGATCGGTATCCTAATGTGCATAGGCAAGGCCAATTTTCCAAGGACAGACCAAACTTTGAATACAAAGCAAATGAATTCCAATTTTCACTGGCGGCCAAATTTTGGTATGGCTCGTGAATGGCCAAAACCAAACACACGCCCCCACTCAAAAAACGAAGAGGGTAGACGTAAAGGGTATTACCACGACGTGGTACCGCGGTGATGGCTGAAAGATAAATGGTATGCAACATGCTAAAACCCCACCTGTTAACCGACCCAGATAGGTATGTCATATCAGATTATATCAGTATGATATGTTAATTACAGCAACACACACATTCTTTTGTTTTGGCAAGTCTTTAGGGACGGGATAATAGCCCAACACAAAGTACACGTCCAGCGCTTATTAGAGAAGACGAGCAGTTTGCATAATACAGCCTGATGATGCAGTCTCCCCAACCTGAATCACGCTTCTGGATCAGTTCTTCCTTCCTTCGCAGAGGATAAAGTGATACCCATGCCTGCACAGGAAACACAGTGTCGTAGTAAGCAGCTGGTAAAAGATGAGATACGATCAGTAGCCTTAATGAAGATGATATTTTCAAGAGCATTCAGTGTTTTCCATATTTTCAAGCAGCATAAGAGCCTATTCTCAAGTCCAAAGGAAAAATGCAGCATTGCAATGACCAGGACTTGTGCCATGGGCACTACTGCCAGGATATTCAATAGGCCAACAATGGAAGAAAAACAGTGACAAAGGCATACGTGGACTTGAATGGTGCGCTAACAGCTCCCACAGGAGTGTTGAAAGCAACCTCCTGGAAAGGGCCAGCCATCTTGCCACGAGGGAACCAACCAAGATCTCCACCTTTCTTCCCTGATGGGCATTCAGAATACTCTTGTGCTACCTGTAGTTTGAAAAAGAAAGTCAGGATGTGTTATAATTTTGGTACCTAATGGTATAAAAACTTCTGAGAAAATCTTCAACAAAATAGTTAGTCAGATTGTAAATGGGAGAACAGATTTTAAGACCAGTAACATATACGAGGTCAACAACAGAAATTTGGTGTCATATGCACCCCCACTAAATAGCAGCTATAAGCATGCTCCAACCGAAGTCTCAAACTGGATGATTTAAAAAGTTTGTCAACCTTTGAATAGGGAACATTCACCACTATTGGCTATTTTCAGTACTTTATGCAGATTCCAATCTCTAATTGGGCTTCCCAAGGTTCACAATCTGAGCATATTTAAATTAGTGTTTACACCAAAACTAGCATTCTTAGTTCCAGTACTAAATGCATGTGAAGATATATAAGCTGAAATAGCCTCATAAACAAGTTTGCTGCAAACTAGCTTGGCACTGCAGCTTTCTCAGTGCTCTTGCATGTAAACACAGATTTTCAAAACTTTATAGGAATGATAATATAGAACTAATTGTGCAGTGATCTTCCCTAGAACTTGCCTTTGCTCGTTTCCAAGCAAAAGCAATTATGATAGCTCATCCTTTGGAGAGCAGTACCCAGACCAGTTTCCTGTCAGAAAAAGGCTAAGCCAACAGCCAAGTTCTAATTTCTAAGACTACTAAGCCACTACCAATTTTGACTACTGCTCTACCAGAAGCCTTGCCAATTATAATAAAATCACCCAAACCCTTTCCTCAATAGTCCATGCACATACACATCATTTAGATGCCAGCAAAAGCACCCATCTTTAACTAATAGCTGCTCATACACAGCATCTATTCTCTACGCTTGGCATGAAACAAATGGACTTATAGCAGTCAGGATCTTATCAAAGTGCAACCAAAGATCATCAGGCTCATTCAAAATCACAGGAAACTATCAGTAGAAGAAGATAGAGATATATATCCTTTATTAATTCTCTTCAAGGCCAAATCGGAGATGGGGAAATGTCACTAAAAGGTAAAACTCTCGAAGTCACAGAATGATGAAGTCTCATCAGTAACAATGTGCCGAATGTGCATAGTTCATCACTACCCTTTTCATCTAAGCAAACCTAACTATTCTTGAGCCGAGAGGAGTGGAGGAGTGCCCATCAATCGGGCCCTTACCCCTTACCTTAGCAAACTCAGCAGGAGGGACTTTGTCCCCATTGTCCAGCCATCCATCCTGCAGCTTCTTATAAGCTTCATTGATCTTCCCCTGCTTCTCACACAATACGTGCCTAGCTGCAGATGCAGGATCATCAATCAGCTTTTGTTTACTTGCAACCGAAAAACAAAACATAGATATAACTAACAACGATGCTAATTGCAACTCAATTTCACAACATACCCTGTAAAATGGGAGAATCACAATCAGTTACGGATGGCCCATCCTACTGAAGACATGAGGCAACCCCAAAACACGAGACCTGACCGTAACCGCCCAAGCTTTCACCCAATATCATACGAAATCCTCGCGTGCAATACATCCAGGCCAACGGAGAAGGAACGGTACCTTTGACGTAGGTGCAGGTGCCGAGTCCGACAGCGGACTTGCCTCCCTTGCCCTTGCCTCCCTTGCCCACCGCCATCGTCGCCGCCAGAGGAGCCGGCCGCCTGCTTGCTCTTCCCCTTGGCGTCCTTCGGCTTCGAGTCCTTCCCCATCGGTGCGAGAAATTGGCTATTATAGGGCTCCAAACGTTGGGTTTCTCTGAAATAGGACTCCAAAGAATTATAATAAGCTCTAATAACATTTTGGGCCATTTTAATCTCTTTTAACATCTAAATACATGTATTTGTTCCCAACGTGTGTTTTGAAGGTGATTGTTTTGTCGTTTTGAAAAAAAAAAGTCGCTGCTGGCTTCCGACGGCCCTTGGCCTTGGCTGGGCGCTGCCTTGGCTGGCTGGCCATGGCCTTTGCTGGCTGGCCACAGGTGCCTTGGCTGGCTGGCTGTGGCCATGGCTGGCTGGCCAAAACTGCCTTGGCTTGCTGGCTGTGGCAAGCCATGTACAGTTACAAGTAATATATAACAAGGTTCCAAGTAATATATAACAAGAATTGATTCATACACAATTACAAGTAATATATAACGGCAAGAATTTAGCAACGAGTTCATCTTATAAAACCATATTTGTAGCATAAACAGGTTCATCTCAGAAGACCATAATGTAGTTTCAAACGAAATCAATGTCATATGAAATAAATCATGAGGTTACATCTCATCACAACTAAAATGCTCCATCATCAAATGTTTAGCTTTCTCCTTTTTGGAGTCATCTTTTTTGGTGGCACCGGGGTAGGCATCCTCACGGGGCTAGCGTTGTCAGTTTGTGAAGATGTGCCCTCTCCAAGTAACATCGCTAGCTTGCTGCACATAAATACGATCGGCAATTAGATGTATATATAAAACAATTATTCTGTACAGTAAATGTGTTAATATTTCTTACCTTCTAGTGACCCTTCCTAGACTATCTCGTAGAATTTCATCCCTTGTTAGCCTCCATGGGGTGCTAGGTTCCGCCGGTCCTTCTTTTGTGACATTCTTCCTAGGTTGCCTACGCTTCCTATAAGTGCTGAAATAAGTTAATATTCACATTATATGGGCACTTGGAACTAGCTTGTTGATAAAGAAAATCATCAATTACCTCTTTTTTGTGGTCCCATTATATGGGCACTTGGAACTAGCTTGTCTGTGGCCTTTTTCTCCGCATCTTTTGCAAGTCATAGGTCCTCTGATCATCTTCTGTCCCTTTGCATTTGTTGGAACAGTATCATTATCACCTTCACCCTCATCCCATCCCTTCTCACCTTCAACCTCATTGGTAGATTTTCTTTTCTTCCTGTGTCCACCTTCATCCCATCCCTTGATTCTTAGTTTCCTCATTCTTCCAACAGATAATTTAGCTAGAGGTGCACCAACGCCAAATGGTAGGTCAACATGTGGCCACTGTGTTTTATCTGTCATTGGCTCAATCTCTCTACCATAAGCAGCCCTGAATCTACTCATAGAGTAGTAGTCATGCATAAACTGTTCTAGATCCACTCCTCTTTGGTGGGTTGCATAGGCCAGTACATGTTGACATGGCTTACCAGTGTGCTGCCATTCTAGACAAGTACATGTTCTTTGGCCTAGCTTGACAATATGCCTCACAGAAACGGCGCCGCTATGGTCCCACACCTCTGCACTCCAGTTAGAACATGGTACAATTTTCAAGTGCCCCAAACCTCTAGTGTTTGCCCTTAGCTGAACCATAATAGATGGGAGTATCCTGCCTTCAGGTAGCCTGTATGCAATAATTCTTCTCTTGTTCCACAGTACCATGATCATTTCTCTGATCTTATCAGCAAGGTCAGCAACCGGTAAGTCCTTATGGTCTCTAATCCAGTTATTAAATGTCTCAGCAATGTTACTAGTTATATAGTCACACTTAATTTCTGGATTGAAACCACACCTGTACCATAATAGCTTATGATTGGCCTGTAACCATTGCACTGATGCAGCTGATTCACTTATCATTTTTGCTATATTATCATAGAAAATCTCCTCTGTGTAAGCTCTTGCAGCAGGATATATTTGGCCAAACCCTCTAAATCTCTTCTTGAAGTTTCTAACCATATGATAAAAGCATTCCCTTTGCTCTGCATTGGGGAATACATTCTTCACTGCATTCTCCAAGCCCTTGCAAGCATCGGAACAAACAGCAAGGAGTGGAAGATCACCTATAGCTTTCTTTAATTGTTCCATGAACCAAGTCCAGTTGTCTGTTGTTTCCTGAGCTATGAAGCCATAAGCGACTGGGTACATCCAATTGTGACCATCAACTCCTACTGCTGCAGCCAAATGACCATTCCACCTCCCATTAAGTGCTGTAGCATCTACGCTCAAATGAGGCCTACAACCTTCCAGGAATCCATCAATGCATGGTTTCAGGGCACGGAAAAAAATGGTGGAAATATATCTCACCATCTACCTCAAGAAGATCAATCTCAACGACACTCCCAGGACTCCGCTTCATCACCTCGGCCTTCCACCTAAACAATAGCTCAAAGCTATCTGACCATTTCCCATAAATCTCTTCAAGAGCTCTTTTTTTACCCCGTTGTACAGTGTCATATCCAATTGAACACCTATGCAGTGGGTTTGTCTCCAACCTCGTTTTTAGTTCCTTGGTACCAATGTTTGGTTCAACTCTAAGGATATCCACACTGCTTAGCTAGCTACCCACTTGCAACTTGGAGTTGTAACTCGCATCCTCCTCAGCTAGACACACATTCATGTTTATCAACTAACACGGTTACCTACAAAAACAAAAAAATATATTAAATTTCATAACAAGACGAATGATTGAATTAAGTGATACAAAAATATTTTACCTCCACAAGAGAGCTGCCATCCAGCTTTAGAGCCATTTATCCTCCAAGGACAAGGGCCCGTCGATTCATCACCGGACTTGCAAAAACCCCTATATTTCTTCAGTAGTTGACTTCTCTACTCCTAAATGGAACTCCTTCTTGATGGCATATGTCCGCACCGCCAACTTGAACTCTTCCATTGTTGGGTCTCGTGTCCCAACCTCCAATGATGGGTTGTTCTTATCATATGAAATGACAATCTCACCCTAAGACAACATCACTAGTAGGAATGGCAGCACCATCAACATCTTCACCAAGCTCATTATCATTGCCTTGTTCATCCATTCGACGATCAAATCCTTGTGTAGGTATATTTGATGTGCCCTCATCTCGCCAAGCCTAAAAGCTCGCACATTTGACTCTCGTTCATAAGTTCAATTCGTCCCTCATCATCAAGTGCCTCCACAATTTGTAATGTTGTCCAATCAACTCTTTCCATATTTTCCACATCATTTACTTGAGACCTATAAACAAGAGAAACCTACTTTTACTACATGTCTTCTCATCGAACCGAAAAAAACAGCGCGAAGTGGTATGATCTACTCTTCAGTCTTGGTATGATCTACCACTATTAAAGTCCACCAAACAAATCAGAGGCGTTTTTTTTCTTTCATAGACAGAAGTGGTATGATCTACTACCTGTACTATCTCCAATATTTACTACTGGGTATGATCTCTCACCTGGTATGAAATAAGAGATCAAGTGCATCGATTTTATACCTTTCCACTTCAAGAACAGGCAGGTTGTACTCTATTGCGGATGACAAACAAGAGGGAAGCAAAGACCTTGCATGGGCAACGGCATCTATGGGCAGCACTTGGCCATCTCCACCTTGGCCGGCGTTGGCCACCGTCCAGCGCCCTCCGCCCAGCCCTAGGGCGCCCGGCGGCGATTCTTTGCCCATCACGGCAAGGCGTCGAGACCTCTCCAGAGGCGTGGCCGCCACCCACCAAAGAAGAGGGGCAAGGGCTAGACCTCCCATGGACACCAGGCCACCAGGGGCGGCTAGGGCTAGGGCTTCCACATCTTTGGTCCTCCCTGCGTCCAAGAAGATGAGCCGCGCGGGATCATCGGCAGGCGGCGGTTCTCCTCCATCCATGGAGGGCGACGGCGTGGGGAGGGGTGGAGGAGTGAAAGGCGGCGGCATGGAGGAGTGAAGGTGGTGCGGCGTCGATGAGTGAAGGGCGCGGCGGCGGTAGACGAAGAGACCACGTACTGGCCACGAGGAGATGATGGATCGGTGTGTAATACAGAAGGGCAATACGGTCATTATCAGAAAATACATGTATTTGGGAGATAAGAAAAATGGTTAAATGTATCAAAATGTCATTATAGCTTATTGTAATTGTTTGGAGTCCTATTTCAGAGAAACAAACGTTAGGAGTCTTATTATAGAGAAACCCAACGTTTGGAGTCCTATAATAGCCAATTTCTCCATCGGTGCAAGTGCAACTGCACGAGGTGGATCGGATTGGACAGGCCAAAACCCTACTTCCAAGTAAGATTTGGCTCAGATACGACGACCGATGACGACGACGACGAAGATATCTGGACGGGACGGACAAGTGCCTTGATGTAAAAAAGTCCTAATAGGGCCGTATTAATGGGCCGGTTCTTCTAGTTCGATGCATTGGGCTGAAATTGGACGAGTGCTCTTTCCTTCCTTAACATCCTCTCCATTTTGGAGACGGCGGGGCTTTCGCCTGTACGTCCGGGCTGCAGGACGCGTTCGGACCCGCACGTGCATCTTTGTCTAAAAAAGGCCTCATGCGGTCGTGCCTCGTTAGCCGACGTGGCCAACATTGGTCGTGCTCTTCTACTGCTGCCCTACGCCCAACTTGAGCACTTGAAAGGGGGAGGACCCAGAGGGCTGTGCCGGACCTCATTGGCGGCGCTGGAGGTGGAGGAAACACCGAGATGGGGAATCAGCAGGAGAAGAGGAAAATGCACCCCGATCTACTTTTGAAACATTCAGATGTAACACTTGCAACATATATCTTAAGACTGATGAACTTGAAACATGCGTCTGAGACACTTTGCAAAAACATTTGAAACCATTATAAACATATGCAATATCCAGATATAACACTTACAACATATGCACGAAAACATATGCAACATCCACGTAAGCACACTTGCAACATACGTGTACAACCATTGCAACATATGCAACATCT